CAGCTGAAAGGGCGAGCATATTTGGTGTGACGGGGATTCGAGCCCGTGACCTATAAATTGCGAGTCGAACGCCCTAACCACCTGGTCATGCCGAGCCAATCAAAAGTTACAAACTTTTACAGGAAACTTAGTGACTTCGTACGTTCACATTTGTTTCAGTTTCACAATGGAATAACATCAAAGTGAATCACTATTATCATTGTTTAACGAAACAGAGTGAATCAAAAACTTGAAAAAGTTACAAAGTTTTACAGGAAACTTAGTGATTGAGTACTTTCACATGTATTTCACACTGAGACGACATGAGAGTGAATCACTTTTCATGTTACTTAAATCCGAACGTTACAAACTTTGATAACGTGTCTGGTTCAGTGCGACAGAAATAGTTCCAACACTTTTTCTCACAATTGAGACTTAAGTATACTTCAACAGTTGAAAGAAGTTCAACTTACTGGTAAATCGTAAAACAGGTTAAATACATTGTATTATTAACATTACGTATACATCAAAAACTAGTTATTGTCACTTCTAATAAAGTTCTATTTCTAAGTTCTATATAATTAAGGATAAATTTTATTACTTTAGTGTGAAGACAAACTAGTAATTCAAAAACTAATATAATTATAATTGGATCTTAAACGTTGGCTTAAATATCAAAGTGTTGACAATAAGCTACTGGTATTTGGTATTGAGTATTTATTTTCAGGCTATAGTTATAAGCATAATTACAATGGTTAAGACTATGAATTAAGCGTTCACAGTTTGTTAGGTGTAATGGGTGCAATGAGTGGGTTATAATTGGGAACTCGGGACTTACATGTACTTATAAGGAAGCTAGTAATAAAAATGTGCAATTTGTATGTAGAGTTTGTAGGTTGAAGTAGAAATTGGAGGCTATCATAATTAAAGTAGAGGCAACAGATAAAAAGAAGTGTAGATTGATGGAAATAGCAGCATAATTTCAAGAGGAGCTTAAGCTTTTAGTTTTAAATGCAAGGAATACATCAGCTAACGATGACTTACAGGAAGTTAGAAAGAGTACTTTCACATGTATTTCACACTGAGACGACATCAGAGTGAATCACCTTTCATGTCACTTAAATCCTACCGTTACAAACTTTGATAAAGAACTCGGTAATGTAAAATGTGTAGTGAATTTAATCGTAATGAGCCTATTGTATTGAGCAACAAATTTCAACCCTTGACTTCTACAGACAAGGAACTATTGTATTGGAGGGAAAGAAAACAAAGGTATCCGAAAAGGATGTGGATGATAAAGAGGTTATAGTTATAGGTGATTCCTTGACAAGGCATGTGGTTAGGATAGTCTGTGTTCAGATTATGCTACCCTGAGGCACAGGTGGAGGATATAACTGACAGAGCAGGATATATGATAAAGGGGCTAGCAGAGATGCAGTTTTTGTGGTGCATGTAGGAGCTAATAATGTAGGGAAAGGTTGGTCAAAGGAGCTAATTATTAAGTACAAGGGGTTGATAAAGGCATTTAAAGAAAAAGGCTATAACTTAATTTTGTTAGGGATACTGCCCAAAATGAACTGTGGGGATAAAGTTATAATTAGGTCACTAGGGCTAACTAAATGCTAGGCTTAGGTTATTATGTAAGGATGAGCAGATTGTTGGTTGGACTTGTGGGATCAGTTCAGTGGAAGAAGAGAGTTTTTTTTTGCAATGGATAGTTTCATTTAAATAGAGTAGGGGTTGGCTTGTTTGTTAAGGCTATTAACTCAGTTGTAAGGGAAGTTTTAAACTACGACTAGACAGTGGTTAGGGCCAAAAAACTAAATGCAAAAAGAACAAGAGGCAGAGAAAAGTAGCATAGGAAATAAGTATAGAAATAGTTATAAAGATAGCCTTAATTTTTCCTATTGTAATGGTAGAAGTATAAGAAATAAAATAGATGACTTTAGAGCACGGATAGGAATGGATGATTTTGATATAATGGGAATAACTGAAACATGGTTAAATATAGATGATTTTGATGACAGATTTTTTTTTGAAATACAGGGTTAGAGGCTATTTAATAGGGATAGAGTATTAAAGAGGGGAGGAGGAGGAGGGCTTTATATGTAAAATGTTAGTTACATCCTGTTGAAGTTGAGGATATAAAAGATAATAGCAACGACATTGAATCCATTTGGGTTTCTATTAGTGTATATAAAGGGAAAAGGCTTTTAGTGGGAATTTGTTACAGACCACCAAATGATAGTGATGAAATTAGTGAGAAACTTTACAATGATATCAAGATTTCAGCTGTTAATGTAGTCATAATTATGGGTGATTTCAGGCATATAGATTGGGAAATTCTAGAATCAAACCATGAGGGAGAAAGGTTTTTCAAAACTGTTCAAGATGGCTTGCTTTACCAATTAGTCAAGAAAATTACTAGAAACAGTGTTATTTTAGATTTATTGTTAACTTCAAAGATAGAAATGATAGAGAGGGTGGACATTTGGGAACATCTGGGTGCAAGTGATCATTGGTCTATTAGGTTCAATGTTTTGCCGCATATGGCGATAATGGATAATGATATTTTGGTAACAAACTTAAAAAAAAATTTGAAGGAATGCGACAAGAATTATCTATTCTGAATTGGGCAGCTAAGTTATTTGGAG